GGAATCAAAAAACGGCCTCCAGGAAATATACTACTACTACTACTACTACTACTACTCTCCTGAATGTTGTGATGATGTGGGTACAGATGATTATCATTCGGTCTCTTTTGCCTCAAATCCAGAGGAAGAGGCATTGGATAAACCTGATCCCTAAACTGCCCAGGAAATGCCTCGACCATTACATCGTTGTTCCCAGGCTGGAACCCTAAACCCTCCGATTGCTTTTGCTGCCCATGGTACACTGAATCACGAAGAGAATGATATATTTCGTTTCTGTTCAGGTTCGCATAAGAATCAAACAAAGGCATATCCTTCCCACCACCACCACCATTTTTATCCCGACTGTCAATCTCCATGTCATCAAGCAGTTTCACTTCTTGCTCAGTAATAAATTGCTGCGGATGATTCCCAATTGACAGCTCTTGAGCAGCAGGCACATATCTAGCATTCATGGATTCATGATAATAAGAACCATGAACATCACCCACGGGCCAAATATCACCATATGATGGGAGTGGATCCTCCACAGGGTACTCTGATGCAATTGAAGCATCTTCATCTGTCTTTGAGCTCGCTTTATCACCGTGCAATCCAATTTCAAGCGAGTCGTCTTGTGGATGATTACCAGTATTAAGAGAACCATTTTGCTGCTGATAAAAACCAGGGCTGGGAGATGATATCATAGTTCTCCTAGGGCTATTATCAATCAACTGTTGTTGATTATTATCCTCAATGAAAACTTGGTTGGGCATGTCTTCATCTCCAGTCATTTTTGAAACATCATGTGTATGCTCATATATGTCCTCCTGCTCCTGAACCAAGTCGCCTGATTGCTCTTCATCCACATCCTGTTCACAAACATTGGAGTTCCAAAAACCCACATGAAGAACATTCTATAATGTTACATCAAATGAAGAAAGGAATATTGAGTCTCGAATGAACAATTTCTCAAGCAAATTTCCAATTCATACTATCCAGATATGAAAGAAAGAGAGCAGCTCAGACACCTCAGCTGTGACTGGAGGCAGGAACTCATCTTCACTATCATCTGAGAGGTCCATTTGCTCATTCGGAGAACCCTTTTTCTCCTCATCCGGAGTAGTCTACAAGAAAGTGACAAATCAAAATAAGCATGTGAAAATTCTCCCAAAGATAGATTGCCATAATTAAAATTAACTTCACGTGGTGCAGAAAAAACCATCAAAGTACAAAACCTGAAGCTCCATCTTATGTCCTATTTCTTCACCCAAGGACCGTGCCAGCGCTTGTTTCTGTAATTCTCTCTTTACCCAGTAAGCAAAACCTTCAGGAATATCTGAAGTAGCCAATTTCAACCTATAAAAATAACATTATCACTAAGGTCATGATCTCACTGAAGTTTATAGCTGTCATTGGAAATAAAACATTAAATAACCAACCAATGCTGATGCAGCTTTTTCTTCTCCTCCTCCACAAATCTTTCATAAGGTTGAACATTTAGAGCATCAGTACCTAGAACATTATTTAAAGACCTTGGATGAATGCAATTAGAAGCATTATTCATGCTGCTTTTTACGCGTTCGTGTTGTTCTCTGCTGACCTGAAGAACCAAATGCATAGAATTAGTATAAAAGAGATATCCAAAAAAAACAGCATCCCACACAGAATAAGACACAGCACTGCTGGGAAAAACACAAAAAATCAAAGTCAAAATGAAGGTAAAGAGAAATCCAGAAGCAGGCTGAATTACAAGGGGTAAACAATGGTTAAGTCCAGCAGTAAGGCAAAGATTAAATGAAGAATGCAGTAGTAAATGAAGTATTTGCTAAACAACCTTAATGTATGACATATATTTTGTTCCATCACTTTGCTGGATATTCTGCTTGTGTACCTGTTCCCCTTTTCTAGATACAGAAGTCACCACCTTTAGCTCACTTAAGGAATTATCAGATATTTTTCTCAAGAAGCCATTTCTGCGTATTTAAGGCAGATACAATCTCAGAGTTATTTCTCCTCAAAACATGGAGTAAAAAAGGTGATAAAGAAAAGGAACAAACGTAAAGACGAACAGCAAGAAAGATTTTGTTTTCTTCAAACATGCAAAGATATGTGGAGGTCGTTTAAGCGATAGGGTTGAAAGAAAACTGCAGTAAGTTAAAGCAACATTACCCCCTCTTGGACTCTCCACGTACTGTTCCTAAGTTCTGGTTGTCGCTACTATATGCTACCTCAGAATTATTCCAAGAGTAAGACTCGGGTGTGGTAACAAGGTTCTCTTCATTACCGTTGACTCTACTCTCCAGCAAAAGCACATTTCTTTCCTCAGGCCGCTTAGAACTGCATAATTTTGCCCAAAAACAAAAGGCAATGACTAAAGATGAAAGTAGAACCATCATAAACTAATTCTCACTGAGAACCCAAAGAAAATAAAAAATAGATGATGAACCAAAAGGAAAGCACATCTCAACGATA